ACCAAATGTTTTTATGCAAGTATTGCTCCCGTTAAGACAAATTTACAAATCGCTTCAATCCGCATTTTCAAACAAAATCAAAGTTACATCATCATGAATCCTTTAAAGCAGTTGTTCCCAAACTTTTCCTAGTCGCGGCGCCCTTTTTCAATTAAACTTTTTCCATGGAGCCCTACCCTAAGCATGACTATTCGTAAGTAAGAGATAAAAATAAATAAAAATCGTGTATCCTTATTCTATTTTTTTACTTTATTAACATTAAACTAATATTTAATAATTAATGTGATGGAGGAGCCTGCAAATGACTGCACATTTTCTCAAATTGGAGTTTTTACAATATTTCGCGGCGCATAGTTTGGGAATAACTGCTTTAAAAGATCCTTCAAAATCCCGATTCTTGTCACACCTCTGAAGCTGGAATTGCCTTGGCAGCCACATTTCCTCTGTAATCAGTAGACACTCTGTCATGGCTTTTTGTTGAATTGGCAACAAAATGTGGGCATGGCTATCGTTTGGGGTAGGGATGCAACCTTGGCGCAAGCTAGACTGCGGTCCAGGCAGGAGGAGAGAATCGTGTGTGGGCCGTAGACGAGTTGTCTGCATATGAAGGTTTTCTACTCATTTCCTAATAACAATTTCTACCGCCCCAAGAGAACTCAGAAGAGTGACATTCTTATTCAAGGTCTACATCTACGCTCGAGGTGTACTTTGATCGAACAAATCATTCTCTAAAATGGAAGTGGTCTGAGCTGGTTTTTGCACTTGGTCGTGTTGTCATAGAAACCTAGTTGCAATGACCTCAAATAAAGTCCCTGCCGCAGAAGTTATGAAATTGTTACATTCCCAGACATTTCACCGACATCGTTAGTGAGTCTTGCCATTCTTTGCACCGAGCTACAACTCGTGCAGGAGGCGCCGAACGGTTGGGTCATTATTCCTCCTTCTGTCCTCTTTCAGCTTCCCACTCGCACTCTTCCTACCTTATTCTCTTCTTTGCATACTTCCGGACTTGCTTACATTCGACTCGTCAAGAGCTGTACCCTTTTCAGCCAGTTCAGTGGGACACCATTACACCTGCTTGTCTTCCATGTCGCGCCTCCCTCGTGATTTGTGCAAATTGCCCATCCGACCCGGATCTCATATCCGAATCTGTATCATGACCCATGAGATCAGTCTTTTATCTGCATTGTCCGACTGATTTCACCTGCTTCCAGTCACAATATCGAATCTTCGTATTATAATAGAGTTTCGAGACTACCAGTAAATCTGTAATATGATATGTATTCACCATATTTCGTCTAAGCTGATGAAGGATGATAGTAGAATTTTCCCACAATCTTATGAGTTGAGCTGACGTTCTCGTTGAATTTCACATAGCTTTGCTTTCCCAAAAGTTGTC